TTTTAAGTCCCCAGGCAGGGGAAAATGAAGAACAAATTAAAAGTTCGCTGCAAGCAGTTCACTAAACAGAAGAACAATAATAGTGTTTTTCTGCCATTCTTTTCATTTCTCCCAGCATAACTACACATCTTCTGGATACAATCTGTTTCTTTGCCAGGGCTTCAACATTCTCCCCTGAATTAATGATACTGGAAAATGTCCACTTTTCATAGACTCCGATAGTCTCTGTTGAGCAGCAGAGGGCTGCACAATACTTCCTTATGCAATCACTGGTTCTGTGCCAGGCATAATAGCCTGTCTACTAGGAACAACCAATTCACACACAAAACCAAAATACTTTTCTCATTAAATGGCTGAATTAGGGAGAGTAAAAATACCCCGAACCTACTGGTCATACTGCACACTAATGTCAGCCTCCACACTGAGTTAAATAATCCCACACCCTAGTCTTTGAGGAACAGTTAGCATGAGCAGAGGAGGGTGGCACTTCATTATTCATTACCTCCAAAGTACTCTTGACACTATCAAGAACTATTATTACAGGACCAGGCAACAACAGGACACCTGAAGCAGTTAAAATGCAACTTTATCTGGGAAAGTACTTGCAGACAAGCACTGCTTTGGCCACTTCAGGCACCAGCATACTGTAGTCATATGGTAGCTCTTCTGTCTGCAGGCATGATCTGTCCCTGAGTGGATGAGGAGGTGGAGAACTGTATCATCTTACTTGCAAAATAATCTGCAGCACACTGCCCACATCAGCATTTGTTTCAAGGCTATTCTGGACCATGCTTTAAATGTGGTGTATCTGTATTTCCTCCCAAAGAAACACTGAAGGCAGGACGGTCCCATAAAGTTAGCTTTATCTAGTGTGAGAGGAAGAAGACCAGGTCTTATTGTCTGAAATCAGCTTAGCTGCAATAAGGTGCAAGTCCAGATCTAAATTTTTGCCTCTGTCAGGATGGAAACATCAAAGAACCCTGTGAGAACCCTTCCTCCATTTTGACCCATGGCTGAGAAATAAGCAACCAAGTCATTGACACTTTCTTGTAGACCTCAGAATTCCACCCTTTGCTACCTTACCAAATCATTACTCCACTAGGATGTCAGCCTTCCATCCTTGCTCAAATTTTACTGGCAAGAGGAAATAGGACATGTCTACTTTAAATGAAAGCTCACTGTGAAGATTAAGTAACAAAGAGATACAGACTGGACAGTTATCCTGACCACCAGCACCAGAAATTCACGATTTCCACTCCATTCTGCCCTTCTAGAAGTTTTCTGGAGGGCATGGGAGATCTAGGGGCCACATCCCTTTACTTCTGCCTTTCACTGGCAGAGATTAAGAGGCTGCTGCCTCTCCTGCAATTTTAAGAGTTGATATAAACCAAGTTCTGTTACCCTGGAGAACAGGACTTTTACAATGTGGCATGTAATTACACTCAGAGAAGAGACACCGTAGCTTGCCACTTACCTCATCTACACAGCATCCCTTCCCAGTCTCTCTCAGTCATAACACAATACCTTGCAGACTGATATTTTGCAGAGTACCCTTGGAAAATGAGCTAAAGAAAAGTACAGCTTTAGGATCAAATACAAGTTAGACACACCAGGAGAGCAGAACTGCACATCTATGGGATGAAAGCACTTGGCCAGTGAGGAAAAGTCTTACAGTTCTGTGCAAAGCAATTTTTTCAAGTGATACCTTCTCCAACCATTTAACTCTTCTCTGCTGTTGTCAGGGTCTCCCCTCTGTTTTTGTACTAGAGCACAACCTCGGTTTTGACTCAGGAAGACTGGGTGAATTTCTAACTGCGCTTCTCCACACATCATTTTGCATGGCTGCAGTGTAGCTTCTCTGTCCCACATGAGTACTTCAAAGGCATCTACGCTAATGATATCAAAGGGGCAAGTTCATGGCAAAGCTTCAGGCCAGTAGCCTGTCTCTCTGTCAAAAGCAGGAAGCTACGGTGAGTCCTGAACACAGAACGGGAAGAGGTTTACAAGCCCACACACAAAGCAATGGCAAAGAATGAAAAGAAATGCTGCGATCTGTGACGAAAGAAAAGGTGACAAATAAGGGCAGATGTTAAAAACAGACAGCTGCATCTATCCATAGTATACTCCGTCCCAGAGAAACAGATTGCTTAAGTTGCTGAACTTGAGGAATCTGCGCGACCTACCTAAGTGCACGTGCCCAATTAGCCAAGTGCCAGGGAAACACACAGCATCGAGCAATAGCTGGAATAACCTGGGTGCGTATGATGCCAGCACTCTCGGAACACTGAAGAGGAAAGAAAATAAGCCGAGTATTTTCATGCTAGCGTTTGTAATAGTACTGAGTTTACGGATTTTATAGCAGAAGTCACATTTCTTGCATTTTTTCCTTCCAGAGGGTTCTGATTTCTTGCATTTCATACTCTTACCGACAGAGCCATCTAGTGGATGAGACATCATTTGTTAGAAGGAAATTTTGATTTCTCACACTGTAAGTAAGGATAATACACACATCGCATGTAGGCTCTTCAAAGCAGCCGGTAACAAACTAGCATATCAGTTAGTCTAGTCAGAAATTTCTAAGTGATATGTTTGTCTTGGCTGGGGCTTAAATTCCTACCAATGTGAAACTTCAAACTTTTCAATGCTAATTCACAATATCTTTCTGAAGAGGGTAAACAGTTCATCCTAGACTCAGCCTCAACCTGAACTCATAGTGCAAAGCTTTTCGTTCATGCAAAATCCAGTATCTTCTTCAATGCTGATGTGGATTAGAGGTGTTACGTGTTTTAAATAAAGCTTAAAAGCTAAGGCAACACTGGTCGGAAAAAAAAGTTTTAAAAAAAGTTTCATTGCTGTGTGCTCAGTGGACAGTCACAAATATAGAGGGTGAGAAACATCGGAAGGGGTAGAATATTCTTAAAGCAGATACATTGCAGTTTGTTCTATCTGTCAAACCTACTGGCGTGGGTTATTGTTTCTTTCTGAAATTCATGGTTGTCCCCCTGCCCTCAGTGCTGCTGAAAGCCACATCAACTGTTTCAGAGAAGAGAGGAGATCTCAGTGGAGAGAACAGAAGCTTGGCATTACACAGGAAGGAGGAACAGGAACTTTAAAAAACAATAGAAAAGGTAAGCCAATCATCATTAGCGGAAACAATCCCCAACAAACCTGCTACTGCCAGGCGGCTTTAATTTGCTTAAATAGCATTTAACCATTATACTCTTTAGGGTTCCCCTTGGTGTTTCAAAGCCTTTGCCATTCCAGTAGCTGTCTGTGGTCAAAATGGGGTGCTATTTCTCCCTGCCCTCTGCAAAAGAAGCTAGCATCTAACCTTCAGAAAAGGCTACATGCTATTTAACAGTCAGAAGGAAACAGTGAGATGCAAAGCCAATGGGCCAGATTTGCAGCCTTGCCAAAATGTTGAATCTCTTCCAAAAAATACTTTTAGTCAAGTCCCCCATCTGTGGCTTACTTCCTTTTCCACATATTATTAGTTCTTTTTGGAGACTTTACAGAAAAGTGGGCTGGGAAGTACCCGATAGTCCCGGAAAAAAAAAAAAAAAAAGATGTAGCAATAATCACTGTTAGTTTCCTCGAGAGGTTACAGGGAGACCAAATAGAAGCCAGACCCAAAGGAGTTCTGGCAGTGATTTCTCTTTGCTCAAACTGCGAGTTCACCTCTTGTCTCTCGTTACTAAACAAGGTAACAGTAACTTCCTTTGTCACTCACTGTACATTAGCCGTGGCCAGGCCACCCTTTAAGCAGAACAGCTTGCCATCCTTCAACACATACACACTCAAACATAACCACTAGTTTACATTTATGGCAATTAGTTGTTGCACTAATCAATCTCAGGTTTCTATTAGGTGTTTGCTTTGGAAGAGAAGGCAGTTCTGGCTGCTGAAGCATCCTATAAAATCTTCCAGCACACCCTTGACTCAAGTTATACAGAAAGTAATCATGTATTGTGCCATTCCTGTTCTGTCTGTTGACGGTAGTGTAACTCCATTGTACAAAAATTCTGACTTATTAGCAACACAATCACAAGCCTGACGTATTAAAAGCAGTAAACCCCAGTTAACGGACTGCAAATAAAAGACATCTATTTCAAATAGATATACTACCTACTAGGGAAGTGGACATCTTGTATACCACCAGATAGCAACAAGCAAAGCCAGTAGATGTCAACAGAAATACCTGTTCTTACCTACCAACCCATTTCCAGAGATCCCAGGCATTAGCATGGGGTACTACAGCAGACAGTTCAATTCTTACCCTGAAGCTCACGGTACAACAACAGGATGAAATTCTTTTCTCCTTTCTGTGTTCAAAAATGTCAGTCTCAGTGGGCATCTAGTAGAGTCAAAATGGACTTCAGCTTCATGTCGATTTTAAGATGGTCTTTCTCAAAACAGTCTCGTGACATTCAGAAGCCTTTACTTAAGCATGGGAAGGAAATTCTGTGAAAATACGTCTTCTCTCCCACAGTAAGACCTAGAACCAAACTGATTATTAAGGAATTCCAAACAGTACAAACAGCTGTTACTAGTAGTGATTAGGAAGGTTGTAGCTTGCATATCGACCAGTGGTTTTACTTGCCTGTATCTTACGCAGATACAGTCTCAGAGGGAAATGACCTATCAACTGGTATCAGTCACAATTCTCTTCTGAGTGACTGTCAATTTGAAGAATGTACTTTTCCACAAGGAAGTGCTCAGTATCATTACTAAAGCCCCAAATTGCTCATTTTAAGTTGAAAATACTGTCTTCAGGAAAGCATTACTGCTATAGGAACATGACTCGCATGCCATGTTTTGAAGCAGGGCTTTGTGAAAACTGTCTTGTCTTTTGGACAAGTTCCTCAGCCTAGGCATAAGGCAACACTACAGTGTTTTTATAGTTGAGCTCAAGCGTATCTTAAACACATTTTAAGGAGGTTTCTAATGCAAATATTTAGGATCATTACTACCCAGAAGAACATGTAGCAGGGTTTTTCTAGTGATGTGAGACCAAATACAGCTTTATTTACAGACAATTCAACAAATTAATACATTAGTTCAACTTTCATGTCTGCACACAAGGGAGTCTTCACAGCATCAGAGCAGAAAAGCAAGACTAGCTATTTTGCACATGTACAGCCTGATAACTGATTGTGTGCAAGTATGTAATTAGGTACAGAGGTGTTACATTTAAACATTTCAACCATTTAAGTCAGTAAGAACAACCACACTATACTTTTCGCAAAATAAACTAAAGTTACAACTACATTTGGCTTCCTGCAGATCAGCCGATGATCTATATGACTCTGTATAGATGTTAAGACCAAAAGCTAAAGTTGATCCTAAGTTTTGTTCAGATTAGCATTTGTATTGAGTTGTATTTAACAGATAACCATTTATAAGACCTTCCCCATACACCTGCACTACCTTTCAAATTTACAAAACATTTCAAGTTTATCCTTGAAAATGCCTATTTTATATTCTGTCTTCTTTTCCCAGGCAGAGGGAAAAACCACTAAGAGAGTTAGAATAGAATTCTTCACTGCAAATATAGACTCAGGCTATCAAAGTTGTGTTTCTAATGAAAAATTCTCCCTCTATCCAAAGAGAAAAATAAGAAACGCAAGAATACAAGCTCAATGCACAGACCTGAAGATGGACCTCTATCTATTGTAGGTTCATATAAAGCAAAAGAACATAGTGCTTTGCTTCTTGGGAAGCTGCCTCTGTTTCGCTGTATTTTCCATAAATGCAGCTGCTAATATGACTTTAAAACGTACTATTTAAAAACTCTTCATCAAGAATGCCTTCTAATTCTTTAGAGAATGAATGACAACAGGACTAAACAAGAAAAAGGAAACACCATCTTTAAAAGTCAATGCATCACACAAATACAAAATAGTCAATATAAAGTCCACTATTTTCCAGACAAAGCTATTTTAAGTTTGAAATCAACCTACAGTGTATTTGCCCAAGAGAAGTCCTGTCATGTAAGAGCAGACAAGTTTTTGTCAGAAACATTTATTAAACAAAACTGATACCAATGCACATGTAGTCAAGTTAATACCCCCTAATAAAAAAAGCATGTTGGTCAAGACCAAAATTATCTTCGCTTCTGGAAGATGTTGCCACGACCCATACCACGGCCTCTTCCTCTTGCAGCCACTGAAGAAAGAAAACATCAGGGATGACATGAATTTGACATAACTGCATATTTATCTCAACAACTGACAAGCAAAACATAAAACACCACTCAAAGCCTCTTGCTTAGAAGCAAGGAAATGAGGCTATCCTATGAAGTTCAGAAAGTGATATGACAGCAAAAAGTTTTCTGTGAGAGGAACCAGAACTAATGGTTACACAGTCTTGCTACTTAGAACAGATGCAGTGAATATTCACACATTTTGTGTTCCTTCTAAGTCGACACACAAATCTGTATAGCCCAAGAGATTTAAAACCCCACACTCTTGCAAGGTTTTGCAACAGAGCTCAGTATGTTTCAGCAGATGTGACTCCCCCATGTAACCTTACTGCATTTGCTAAAGTTAACCAAGGACTTTGCGGCCCATGATTATTACTCAATCTTGTTATAACTAGATTGTTCCCCTGAGAAAGGTACAAATGAGAGTGGGCTACAGAATGGCTAATAATTACAGCTTCCCAGTAGTTTAAGTACCATCTTAATATCTGCATTTGTTTTTCTACAAAAGCTTAACAGAAAAGCTGAATCCTTCCCTAAGTATTCCAAACAGCTAGTGGCCACAATCAGTGGAAAACAGAAGATGAAGTTTTATATAAAGCCTCTGTTCAACAAGACTACTCGCTATATCTAAATTACTGTAGCATCCATATTACACATTCAGGTAATTGGGCAGTTTGAGTCTTGACTCCCACCATAAGATGAAATATACAGAAAAACAATGTATGAACCATTACTCGTTCAGTTTCTTACAGCTTCCATTTCCTCAGCGATAGAGATGACAGTTTTCCAGTTCTTCTACAGCAAAATGAGGGGGGAGGACCATAAACAAATTGTACGCACCTTGAGCTTTGAGAATAGCTGCTTTTCCTCGCCCAGCTCCAGAACCCTGGTTTTTATTCTTCATGCTCTTTAGCATAGGAGCATTCTTCAACATATCTGGTAAAATGAGAAATCGTATCTTGCTACCTCTGATGTACACTTGTTCAAGCTGTGCCACTCGTCCATCTCTGTATGTCACCGTTATGTTGGACATCTGGAAAGTAAAGGCCAGTCAGTGCTCATAGAGGCCTCTAACAGTTCTGTATTCCTATTTCTCTTGCCTGTAGAATACACAGCCAGGATTCAAGTACCAAAGCCAAAGACTTTCCAAGCATACTGCTTTCTCAACTGGAGTTGTGACACAAGGCATCCAGGAGCATTTAAACATACTCCTAAGCCTGCTACCATTCAAGCAGGCCCAGGACTTTTGTTTTCTCACCAGTTTGCGAATTAGTTTTATCTGCTTTGTTAGTTTTGCTTTCTCATATTGAATCAGTTTTAATAAAGCTGTTCTAGTCCTAACTATTAAGGAAGCATTTTGATTTCAACAATGACTTGCCTGTAGTCAATCAAAATTAAGCTCTCTTGGGATGACTAAAGTAACGTGCATTAAAAAAAGCTTCCATTTTTTAAATCAAGGTTTGTTTATTCGTACACTCAATGGCTTTAAATAAAGAACTCCAGCAGAAACATTGTTCACAGAACAGAATCTTAAGAACCCTGATATTATTGACAGGAATGCCCAATCGACTCTAAAACTGGAAAGAATAAGCTCTGGCCTTTTTGGAGCGCTCAGTAATCCTGAATCCATTTCACTATGGTAAGACAGTGTACATGCAGCAGTACAGTTTTCTTTATCCTAAGACTAAAAGCAATGGTCTTTTAATCAAGCTACCAATAAGCTATCAGCCTTTCCAGGCACAGATCAGACAGCCTTCCCTCCATCCTTCTGAAGCAGGTATACCTGACAATTCATGTTGTCTTCTGCTTCAATAAGTTTTCCTCGGTAAACTTCTCCTGTATTGGTCTCACATGTCACAATATGACCTTCAGCCTCATGCAGGACTTTAATTGGCACTCCAATCGACATGTTTGCAGTGCTGTGGCTCTACACCTGAGACAAGAAAAAAATCAAAGGACATAATTACAAAGGAAGTTGTAGACTAGGTTTTACCTACACAATCTACCAGTGTAAAGCGCCGATTTTCTCTCTTGCCCAAACACACCATATGCTTTGACGACGTGTTAATAAAACTTCCCTAGAAAGACACCCATGGCAAGAAAAGACCTAAAAGATCAGCAAAAGTAAGTCTTTCCCTTCAGAAAGTGTTTTCCCTAGGAAATTCGCTCGCAAATACCAAATAACGGACCACTTGTATAGCCAGGTGTACCTCAAATGGAAATAGCTCCAGGCGCACCCCATAACGGTACAGCCAGCCTGACTGCCTACGAGCTAAGCTGGACCTGTGGGTAGCACAGCCACGCTCGCAGACCACATCACCTAAGCAACAGGCTCTACCACGAGGGAGCCCAGCCCACTCCACACGCACACCCCGCAGCCCTGGTGAGCGCCCCGCGCGACCCTCCTTCACCTGAAGGCCCCCAGCCTCAGCCCTGCCCCAGGGGCAGAGGAGGGCCCGAGCCCCGCGGGGAGGCCCACCCCCAAGAGGCCGAGCAGAGCCCCCGAGGCCTGCGCAGGCCGGCGGCCGCCCCACCGCGGTTTCGCCCCCTCAGGCCCGGGCGCCCGAACGAGCCCACAGGCTCCAGGGGATGCGGCGCAGCTCGGATGCTCCCCCACGGCACCCGGAGAGCGAGGAGGGCCCTGGCGCTCCTGGGGACACCCAGGACAGCCAAGAACCCTGCTCAAGGCCGGCTCCGCCACCACTCACCACCCGCCAATCGCCTCAGCCCGGGCCCGCGCTCACCCCTAATGGCCTCCTCCAGCTTCCCGCCGTGCACCGCGCGCCGGAACCGGAAGGCAGCAGCGGGAGCGCCCCGGCCCCTTCCCTTCCCGCCGCGC